GGGGGAGCGGGGAGCACGGGGGAGCGGGGAGCACGGGGGGAGGGAGCACAAGGGGGGGAGGGAGCACGGGCACGCAGGGCAGCGGGGGTGGGGCCGGGGGCTCACCGTGGTTGCACTTTGTGCACTGCTTACAGGGCTCATAGTTGGCCACGTCGTTGTAGAAGCCAGGCTCACAGGGGCGGCACACGGTGTCTCTGGTGCGGTCGCATCGCCGCACCATCCCACTGCCTGCCGTGGGGTCAGCGGGTCAGCCGCGGTGGCCGTGGCCCGGACTGTGGGCTCTTCCTCAGCGAGTCAGCGCCCCTGGGCCAGAGCGGGGCCTGGCCCACCCCTGCCGGGTGCATCGCTCACGGGGTCATTGGAGTCCTTCAGATTGCCTGCACTGCGTTCCCATCACTCCCTTCCGCTAGAGCCCCCGACCCCCAGTGCCCCGGCCACTCACCGGGCTGGCAGTCAGGACAGCACCGGACACCTTGAGGGTAGGTGTTGCCAACACAGCGGAGCTGCGCCCAGGCTCCGAGCCCCAGGCCCAGCAGCAGCAGGGCTGCAGGCCGCCACGCCTCTGCACACATCTCCTCGGTCCTCCGCCTTCACAGGAGTCTGGGTTTTTCCTTGGAGGATGTGGCTATAAGGGCTATGGGGGTGGAGACTGGCAGGTGGTGGGGAAGGCGTGTGCTCAGGCCTGTGTCAGTGTGTGTGTGCGTGCGCACACACACACACACACACACTCCTGCCCCTGCCCCTAGCTGAGCAGAGTCCGTCTGTCCCCTCTGGAGGACATGGCTGCTCAGCGTCTGGAACTTCACAGGAATGCTGGCGCGCGCCTTGCCCTTGGACTGGGCCGAGGTGACCCACGCTGCACACACAGCGAGGCAGAGTGCTTCCAGCCATTAGGACATGTGAGGGACACAGAGGCCTTTGCTCACCTGCACACATCTCCACGCACCCACCGAGACAGCACGCACTGCTCACACAGCCATGTGCTCACACACCCACGCAGACTCACCCTTCCTTACCTGTAAGTGCCCCTGGCTCCCTCCGCTGCTCTGAAGAAATGGGTATTTGGGGCCGAGAGGCCTCCCCATGTCCCTCCCCTTTCTAACTTCTCAACAGAATTCTGATGGGATGTCTTTTACCAAGTTAACGTAGGAGCTGCAGATAGAGAGCCCTATTGAGGAGGGGAATCCCCAACCCAGAGCACAGGTGAGAGATGGGGCCCAGCCCACTCACAGAAATTCCCAGCCTGGAGGCCAGGCAGGCCTGGGCCAAATTACAGCTGAGAAAGAGGCAGAAGGAAACGCCACTACTGAGGAACGGGTCCCAGGCCTGGAAGGGCTGTAGCGGGCCAGCACCACCCCACCTGACAAGCACAGCAGCAAGGTTCGAACCCAGTTCTCTGACCTGCAGAGATGGAAGGCTTGTACACAAGCGCTCTGCTGAAGGCCAGGTAAACTCAGGGCTCATCCTGAGGTGCTTCTCCTCGGTAGGGATCTGCCTGCCTTCAGGTAGTCCTAACTGGCTGGTGATTGGCACCTATGACAGGTGACCGAAGACGCATTGAAGCCCAGTGCATCTGAGGTACGGAGATGAAGAAAGATGGGGAGCAGGGCTGGGAAGGCGGCTCAGTGGTAGAGCGCTGGCCTCACATGCTTGAGGCCCTGGAGGGCTGGGAAGG